CCCCCCCCCACCCGAAACATTCCCATATCTGCAAGTCTCTCCACTCAGTACTGTATAGGTACCCTATCGATGGTCTAAAATTAGGCTAATGCAAGGGTCGTTCCGTTTGTCAAGCATCTTCCCGGTTTGTCAGGGATCGTCCTGGTTTGTCAGGGATCGTCCCGGCTTGACAGAAATAGTCCCGGTTTTGAATGCTGTCTCGGTTTCAATTTTAAATTTGAAGAAGCTTAAGTCTCGTACGGTTTGTTAATATGAAAACTTGTTTCGCTATCAGATTCCGTATTTGAAATAACTGAGCACACACTTCACAAAGTACACATGTAAGACTCTCAAGCTTTAAGCTTGTTTATTCCCCGAGTGCATTAGTTTATGAGTGAGTTGACGCGTAAATGTGTGGCCTCCATGAATGAAAGGCCAGGCGAAATGATGCGCCTGCAGCCTATGACGCCCACAGAGACCAACAAGGCAACTCCTACACATGAGAAGATACTAGTAATAGGCGAGATTTGACAGTAATTGTTTCATGATAGATCAAGCTGTTACGAGATAATCCGACAAAAAAAAATATGTTTTTTAAAAATCTTAGGTCATTTGGATCTACTTGTGCAGGCTTGCTTTGCCCCGGTAAACCACGAAGGACATTTCTTCTTCTTCTTAAATTTGAGGGGCCAGCGATCAAACTGTTAATCATTCTGGCTCCTGGTTTAAATTCAGAGTTTGCCTTCTCTTAGATGGGTTGCCGTCCAAGGCTAACGTGTCCCATCCACCCGGGGTGCTTGGCATGTTTGCTTTGAACTCTAGACCACCAGCTATTTGGTTTGAGACAGTTAAGACCGCTCGGCCACCCAGCACATTTTACCTGCATTGCTACGGGGGAAATCCTTTTTTGTATCCTAATCTAAAATAGTGGTAATTTTGTGATTAAAAGATAATAAAGTACTTATCAGAATTGTGCTCTGAATTATTTTATTTGATGTACAGTAAAGAGGTGGTATATTCACAAAGTTAGGAGTTGGTATATTCACCAAGCTAAGAGTAGGTGTGTTCACAAAGTTAGGAGTAGGAATGTTCACAAAGTTTGGAGTAGGAATATTCCACCTTTAAAACTATGGTAAGCCTACATACCTATATAAAGTTTATTTGTTCTGCTTGATATCTATGAAGTTGTTTTTACCCGTTAATTTAAACTCCATAAATTGTTAGTGTCCATATACAATAATATGTCCGTTATCTTTTCTCTTCTGTTTTTAAGTATACGGGGGGGGAAGGGGGGGGGGGGGGACTATTAAATACATCATCATCAGATAGAATTGATAGAAAGCTGGTCATTTCCCTGAGTTAAACTTGAACAAATTAACACACATAAAATGGAGAGCTTGCTGGATCTCACGGGTCACTCCCTGTGTTAAACTTGAACAAATTAACACATAAAATGGAGAGCTTGCTGGACAGCTCTGGTGAACCAAAACTCTAGATTTCTTATAAAACAATAGGATGTTTGCGTTACTGAGCCTCTGATGGGTCATACGAGTCAGTGACTCTCAACAAGATGGCTCAAGTTGATTTATTTTTTATAAAGTAAATTAGAATTTTGCGAGCTTATAATATTTGCTTAGTCGATCGATGTAGTATAAAACATTTACAACTTATTCGGCGATCTGTCAAGGGTTAAGAGTTTGATTCCTTGTGATAAGTTTATGTTCTTAAAGAAAATTAACAAGTGTTTCAATAGTTCATTTAAAAAAATCAACGCAAATCATATCCCTTTTCTTACACCATGAAAAAAAGCCACATACAGTACTACATTGTCGGACATGTGAAACAAACGTTCAATTCACACGGCATCCTTACAGGCACAGTTATTTTGAAATACATTCCACGTGACGTATTGTGTGACGTATTGTGTGGCGTATTGTGTGGCGTATTGTGTGACGTATTGTGTGACGTATTGTGTGACGTATTGTGTGACGTATTGTGTGACGTATTGTGTGACGTATTGTGTGACGTATTGTGTGGCGTATTGTGTGACGTATTGTGTGGCGTATTGTGTGACGTATTGTGTGACGTATTGTGTGGCTGATTGAATGTGATCCGTTGAGGTCAACCTTTTTTTTCCTCCTCTTCTTCACGGCTCTGTTGCGATTTCGTGTTGTCGGGGGGGGGGGGTGAGGCCCAAGTCCCCTGTTGAGAATCACTGACACTCGTGACCAAACATTTATAATACGACCATCTCTAAGAGTCAACAAGTGTTTCTAGGACCGTCTAGTTCCGTTACAGCGACTTCACGGGGACAAAACAATCCGAAGGCGGATATGGAACTTGTTGACACAGTTCAGTCGACTTGGCCTAGTTTTACTCGACATTCTTATTTTGGGAAAAGGGGGAGGGGTGGGAGGGGGAAGGAGGGTGACTTTGAATGAATAAAGCTAGAGATGTAATTGAATGATAGGAGCCGGAGTCATCACTACATCGATCGTCGGCCTTCAAGATATAAGAGTGGGTAATTTTAAAAAAAAAATTATTAATTTTTTTTTTTTGGTGGGGGGTGACAAAGATTTTATAAAGCTAAAGNTATATATATATATATATTAAATAGGGATTGATTGATACTATGTAAAAGAGCAGATTACACATTGCAGCTATATCGTTCCAGTAATGATACATTCAGCATTACGTTAGGATCTCTGGTGACTGATGGATTCCTGGTTTCATTGTTTACAGAGACCTGACCAGTGTAGGTCTACCTCTACCTATACGATGATCTGAAAACACACCGGAGGGCATTACTTTAGATATCAGTGGTTGTCTTTTCTCTAGGCTAGAAAGCTGACATTAGATCACATCTGGCTGATTGGACTTGGGCATAACTGTTTTAACGACAAAGCAAAACACTAAGGGCCCCGATAGTTTTCTGTTCTTTTTATTGTAAACAACGTCATCAGCATCAAATTAACGAAACAAAATATTTGTGTAAAAAAAATAATTATTGCAGTAAAAATTGTCATGATAATAAGACGCAAAAAAAAATCACTTAAAATGGGAGAATGCATGACAATACATACGGAATTGTTATGTGAAACATGTGCAGATAAAATTCACTTTTCACATTGTAAAGCATTTGGAACATTTCACGTGTGTTAAAAGACTCTGTCAACAGTCGTGAATTGGTCATGGTGTGATGATAGTAACATACTTGTGCACAGGGCCAGGTTGACAGCAGCGGGGGGTCCCGGGGAAGGTGATGCACCAAGGACCCTCAAAGGGGCAAAATTCACCAGAGACATAAGACCACCTAGAACTATCGACCCCGTAGAGGCGTGAGCCCTCCCCCCCCACCCCCACCCCAGAGGCGTGACGCCTCTTAGATACGCGAGGCCCCCAGAGGCCCCCCCCCCCTACCTGGGTAGGTGCTCAGTGTGCCCATGCCTTAAGACGGCACTGCTCGTGCATTAAAAGTACTTCAAATGACTCTGGGCCATTTGAAGATAACAAGATTTCTCAAACAATTTTTTAAAGTGTTTTATTCCCGTCACGAGATTTGAAAAGTTTTTTTTTTATATATTTTTTTTAAAAATGAGTATTGATAACTGTGGATTATTATTTAAAAAAAAAACAAAAAGAACAACTCACGACTGTTATTAATAATTAACTGTTCTGAAAGTTACATATTTACACATGGGACATGAATAAGCTTTCAAGTATTTTAACTTGTTTGTGAAGTATATTTGTGAAGTTAAGAGAGTGTGTGTGTGTGTGGTTTTTTCTTTGTATGTGCTTGTTAACGTGTGCTCATAAAGAATTGAACAAATAAAAATAAATGTTTAAAAAAAAACGCTTAAGTTATACCAATATAATAATAATAATAATAATAACAATAATAAAAGAACGACTTCCGTTCTATTAGACTTGATATTCAACATGATAAAAAGTGTTCTCTAAAAACAAAGACGAGTGTAAAGCAATTAATTAGGGGTTTTTTCAAATGAAAAGGGAGAAAGAACCGATTTTTCCCAACCATTCCGAGTTTACATGTCAAAATGTACTAGTCTAAATGGGAAATACTGAAAATTCTCTTATTATTCATTAATAATATATATAAAAATCTCCCTAAATTCCGTAATAACTAACTACGCCTGTCATAAGTTTAACGACCTACGCAGGTTTTCTCAGCGTAGTTTACGGTACAGAGCATGAATCAGTTCAAAGTCTTCAACACTTGTAAGGAATATTAAAAGATGTCTGGCGAACGTAGCAGACTTTTGAATCTCTTGGACACTGGTTGAAGCGGTACCTATGTCTGATGGACAACCAAGGGTCGCTGTCGTACTCTTCCACCAGGGACTTCTCGTCGCGTGCAACGATCATGCACTTCAAGGTGGCCACGAAGCCGTCCCATTCCTCCTTGGAGCAAAACTCTTTCAGCATCGGGTTCTCGGCCTCCACGATTCTCTTGGCGCGGAACAGATACGGTTCGTTGCCCTCGCGGGGGAGGCTAATGACCTCAGGCAGCTGCTGCATCAGTTCGGAGACGGATTCCTCGTCTATCTTGAGCAGGGCCTTGAAGAGTTTCTGGCGCAAATATTCCTGAGATCGAGAGATGGAGCCTTCAAAGTACATCGTGTCGAGACGTACCAGAAGGTTGACACCCTTTCCTCGGATTGAATTGGCGGCTTCGTCCCTGTTCTGGAGGATTCTTGGAATATTCTCTTCGGTGTATGGTCCGTGCATGCCTGTTTCGCTGTCCATGAATCGGAGAACTTGAGCACCGCCGATCCCAATGCCGTCGACGCCGGCGTAGACCGCGTGTTTGATCTCATCAAACTTGAAGCCGGCAGAGAAGTAGGTCACGAGGCCCTTCAGATGCGCTTCATGCACTATTGTGAGGGCATCTTCAAATGACAGTTGGTACATGATACATTTGGATGGGTAAGTGTCGCTGGCGCCATCCCAGGTTACTTTGTCAAAACCTCCCAATGAGGTGATCATCACTGCCTTCACAGCAATATCTTTGCGCTCTGTCAGGATTTCCGGAGATTCAACCTCAAAGTCGTTGAGCAGTTCTTGGTTGAGGTTCCAAGCTGCTGATAAAAACTGTTTCCTTGAGCGCTGGACCTGTGTTCTAAGTGCGTGCATGTATTTCAGCGCCTCTGATGTGCTCAACCGCTCCATAGCTATCTTCACTTCAGCCGCGCCCATGAAAAACGCAGCAGAGGCCGCTGCAGCTGTGATGTTGACGATTTTAAGGAAATCTTCATCAAAGTTGCCCGAGTCTTTAACGGGTCTGCCCAGGAAGTATGTGGTCGGCGCTGTGGGGCCAACGTGGAGGCGAACTCTGGAGAAATCGAGAACTGAAGGGACACGGTAGGACTCAATGTGCTCTCGGTCAAGGTGACGTGGCCTCTCGAGGTGTTCCACGTGCACGATGGCTCCTTCCATCCACTCGGTGAATCTCGTCGTGCCCATCATGTGACCTTCACCCGGGTCGGTCAGCGACATGTATGTCTGTGTGTGGGGCCTGAACCCTGGGGTCCCCAGGCCCCTTGTTGTTTCGTGCCGCCCCCACTTCCCGCTGTGGATCTCGCAGTACGCCAGGTGCACGGCAATGTACTCGGACGGCGTCGGCTGTCGGCGGAGCTCCCTGAGGCGCCTGAGTGTTCGGCTGACGGCTCCCAGGAAGTCATCGCCCAGCTGCTCCTTGTCCCAGATGAAGTAAGCTTTCTTCGTGACGTCGTCGCTGTCCACCGTGAAATAGCTGTTCTCTTGGCTTTTGGGGACAACACCGACAAACAGAGCGTCCTCGGTCTCCCATTCCTTGATCACGGCCCAGCTCTCCTCGTAAATCTTGGTCAGGTTGCCCAAGATGCACTTGGCCGTGGTGGCCTCAACGATATTCTTGGTCAGTTCTTTGAATTTTTCTAAATGCACGTCGTTCTCTTTGAAGATGTATTCAAGTCTTTCGCTGACTTTCGGGACAATGTCCTCCAAGTTGGTGATGATCAGCGTGGGCAGCTCTCTGTTTGACCTGAAGGGCTGGTCTCTGCAGATGAGCTTCACGTGGACGTTGTACAAGTTTTTCAGGACGTCCTGCAAACAGGAGACACCGACCTTCCTCAGCTTGGCGACACTGATACTGCAGCTCATTTTCTGTTGATCGGGCATTAAAGTCTCGAGGGTGTGGGTTATCAAGTGATCGAATCTGAAAAGACCCAAGTAGCAGATATGCAATAAGATACTATGTAAGGCTACGATCGTGTAAGGACTATGCTGACATGCAGACTATTCCTAGGAAGGAGGTGGGGGGGGGGGGGAATGTTCAAAGGAGGTCAATTTTGGAAAA